AGGAGAGAAGTTTACATACTCAGCCCTGCACTAACACCACCCATGAGCAAAATGAGTATGATTATTAGAGTGAGGGTGATATTATCGGTTAGTCGGTGGTCCCATGCGTTATGCTTTCGCAACATTTGATAGTAAAAGAGAAAGACATCAGTCGTTCTAGACGCGTTGTTTTAGTAGTTGATCAAGCTGGCCGCAGACATGACCCAACGATGAGACAATTTTGAGCCGAACCAAGCGCCAACACACCACGGGCCGTCGCGGTTTGGATGTTGGTAGCATGCAAGGTATAGTCGATGAGAATAATATAGGAGCAGGACAAATCTTTACTCCGACTTGCTCTAAAGTTGCGCGGAATGATGAGATGCTCTCAGGTCCGCACTCTCATGGCTGACGTCGTGTTTCTTTTCGAGTTTGTGTAGCAGCGGAGGCCGTCTGGAAAATTCGTATACCAGTTGGGCTCTTCGCGCATGTGGAGATTCACACATAACTGTACAATGCGATATTATTCGTGTAATGAAACTAGCGGTAATGAGTGAATCGCGCTGACCTCTTAAGTGATGAAGGACATGAAATCTGAACGGCGCATTTTGGAGACCGCGAAAGTTCTCGTGGTCGCATGTATGCGCTTGGAGATTCTTTTGGACTCGGGTGGCTGGTTTTGGAAAGATGGGATATAGCTCAAGTGAGGGCAAAGGTTATTCATCTAGGTTAAAAAGATGGAAATCTAGGTAGATTCTCCACAACAAGACAACAACATAAGATAAAAAAAATCTAAAAAGGCAGTCTTGTAGAGCTCTTTATTCTCTATAATTCTACTTCTTTAGATTTCTTTTATCTCTTCTTAATATAGAGATTTTTAAAGAGGGAGTATAGATGTTCTTGTAAGAATTATAGCTAAGCAAGATCTTATTATTTTCTAAGATTTTAAGCTTAAAAGAATAAAATAAAGAAATCTAAATAAATAGAATTATAGAGAATAAAGAGCTCTACAAAACTACCTTTTTAGATTTCTTTTATCTTGTGTTATTGTTGTGTTATGTAGAGATTTATCTTAAAAATCCACCTAGTGGAATATCTTTTTGACCTAGGAGAATAACCGTCGCCCAAGTGAGGGGTGTTTATACGCGGGGGAGACTTCTCCGGTGCGCTAGTGCCACCCCGAGTTCCGACGTTTGGTATGACACCACTGTCCATTTTCACATGAGTCAGCACATCAGCGGAAATGTGATAGTTCTGTCATAGCATTGAAGTTCATCATGCGATGTTGCTGCTTATAGAACTCATACACCGAAGTCTCCTTTCAATGTCAGCTTGAGCAAGTCGTCCTTCACAATCTCTTCCTTGCGACTGAGAAGATCCTCCACATCCCAGTTCGCAGCGATGAAGCGACCGCTCAAGAACTTCGCCTTTTCCTGACAGAGCCAAACAGCAGTACCACCAACAAGCTCGGGGCTATCTTGATTAAAGAGCGAGCGGAAGGGCTCGCGCAGCATATCGGTCGCGACGAGGCCCGGATGCATCGACACGGCGGTAACATTCGGGTACTCCGCAGCTACGTACGTAGCCAACGCGTCGAGGATGAACTTAGACATAAAGTAGGCGCCAAGCGGCGGAACGGTAAAGAACGCCTGCCATGAGCTTACGTTGACGATCGTGGCAGGTGTATCGGGGCTGGGCAGTAGGCGAAGGAAAGAGCGGATGAGCAGATAGTTGCCTTTTCCGTTGATCTCCTACAATCGATGTATCAGTTCATGCGCTTTTGACTCAGGCACTGCGGGATGAGCAGCGAACGGGACGGATCTTACGAAGTTCCTCCACCATTGATCGGGGTCTGTGTCGTGCAGTTTCGGTCCGTCTCCAGTCATGGCGCCGGCTGCGTTGACGAGGACATCCGCGTGGCCGAATTTCTGCCGGATTGCTTCGAAGGCGGCCTCGACGCCTTTCGTGTCGGAAATGTCGAGAGCGTATGTAAGCGTTTCGATGTTGGGGTTCGCCTCTTTGACCGATTTCTCAGTAGCTGCGAGCTTTTCGGCGTTGGATGCCAGCAACGCAACACCCTTTACATCGGCCTTGACGAAGGCCGGTACCATTGCCTGCGAGAGCAAGTCTTAGCAGACGCAATAATGACGCGAATTCATGGCGAAAGGGGAGCGTTTTCGGTCAATTGTTTCAACATACCATGGCTCCTATACCACGCGAAGCGCCAGTGATGACGGCTACCTTTCCTGCCAGGCTATGTTCTGGGATACTGGGATAGATGGCAGGGTACGCGTCTTGGTGTGCATTCTTCGTGAACTGCATAGACGTGACATAGAAGTCTTTCGGAAGCTTGCTGAGGTTTGCCATCGTGAATGTGTTTTGGGTTCGGAGGATACGAAGAATACGCTGTAGCAAGATAACGCAAAGATACCGATCAGAGTCTAGAAGTACCACAGTCCACTGTGTTAACTTATGCGAGGCTCTGGGGCCAGAGGCCCCGCATTCGGGCTGCGATAATCGCCTCGTCGTGTCCCCACCCATGAAGCACGACTTGGCCATAGCAAACCATGTAATAAAAGCGTTGGCATGTTGACACCGGGGCGTCGGCAGTGAGGTGTTAAGGTTGCGGAACGTCCCAAGCGAAGCCCGTTGGGAATGTTTGAGCGAACGAAGGCGATAATCATCTCCGCTTAGAGACTAGCGCAGGATTGCGGACCCTGTTTTTGACATTCACCTGAGATCGATGCCGAACCCCCAATTTCCTCAATCCGGTCCGAATCGTATCGACATCGCTATCGGCGCGTACTCATTCGTCTAGCGACTCGTGGTTTCGATCCGACAAGCTTGACCAGAGATACTCACATGCCCACGCAATGTTTGCCCAAACTCTGGGGATCTGACATGTCGGAAGCGAGGACGCACACATCGGAATACCGAGGTGTGACGACGTTAACAGGAATGCGGGTACCCGAAAACGATAGATCGTGATGGCAGCATCAGGGGCAGTAAGACATGTCGTGATAGCGGAACCCACTCTGCATGTTGTCTTCTCGGCGTCCTGATCGACCGAATGCACACCCATGCGGGTGAAGGGGTCGCGGGAAATTCTTTGGCGATCTTATACCAGCTGTGAATGCAAAGCGTTCCATCCATTCTCTTGGAACCTTGGTCTCTGCAGCATTGTTTGTATACTTCAACTGCCCAAGAATGTCAAACTTCTCCCCACTCTGGCCCCATTCAACTCCGCAAGTTGTTCGAGAGCACCAGCTGTAGCTCAACACAACGAATACGTACTGAACGGCAACTATAACTCACATATCAATTCAGAATGACACTTCATGAGGTAAGCTGACCCAGATGGGACGCCTCGAGTGGCGCTGACTTTGATGCAGGATCTAGGCCCCAACCTCACGGCGACCGTCCTTGTGACGGGGCTGCTTGCCTTCATCACCATGGGTATGCGGGCGTATGTTAGGATCACCAAGCATAACTGGGCTCTTGAGGACTGGGTTATGGCAGTAGGATGCGTATGTACCTAACCTTCACAGTGGTCGAGAACACACTGAGCTCACTCATCGCAGTTGCCTCTCATGACACTGACTATTGTCACCACTATCGGTTCCTATTACGGCATCGGCGCCAAAGACAGTACTTTTGCTAAGCCTGGCAACCAGAAATACGTCGAGACAGCATATTTCGTGAGTCATCATCCAGTGTAGCACGGAATTGATCAGTCGCTAACAACATTCAGTGGTTCTTCCTCTATGAGGTCTTCTACTGCACATCCATCATCTTCGTCAAGCTCAGCATCGCCTTCATGCTGAACCGGATAGCTGGCAGGAGGATGGTCTACATCTACATCAACTACGGCATCATGGGCCTCTGCGCTGCGACCAATTTGGCAGCTATCCTGTACATCATTTTCCAGTGTTGGCCGGTCGAGTAAGTACAAAGCAATCCGGCATCACGTGGTAATGCTAACCGTATACTTCTCAGGGCTGCTTGGAGGGCTGATCTCATGGCCGAAGGGACTTACTGCCAGCCCCCAGTGTATCTGCAAAATGTCTACTTCTTCTGCACTTCGGTCAACATCTTCACCGACTGGGCTACTGCGCTCATGTGAGTTACTCGAGATTCTGCTATCGAGTAGGCACTAACGTTGACCAGGCCAATCGCTCTGCTCTGGAACGTTCAGATGAACAGGAACACCAAGATCTCAGTCGGTGGCATCTTGAGCTTGGGTATCTTGTATGGCAAATCCATGAACTTGACTGATCACTGTACACCGCTAACATCGCTCTAGCACATCCATTTCCGGCCTGGTCCGTCTGAAGTACACCGTTGGCCTGACAAGCAGCCACGACTATCTTTGTAAGCACCTCCAGACCCGCACCACATCACAACACTAACATCGCTCCCAGATGGCCTCGCCAACATCCTCATCTGGGGCTACGCCGAACCAGCCCTCGGCATGCTCGTCGGCAACATCGCAACCCTCCGCCCACTCTTCCAGCGCCTCCTACACCTCGGTTCAAGCGGCTCCCACCAGCCTCGCTCGGGCACACCCCACGGTGTCAGCAATCCCGACCGTTCGCACCGCTACAAGCCTTTTGATACCGAACTCGAGCTCGGCACGGTCGCAGACAACCAGGACACGCACATGCCGGCGATCAAGGTTCATGCGGGACGCGTTAGTGTATCGAGTGACAGCGAGAGCCAGAAGGAGATTCTGGAGAAGAATGATCGGTTTGTTAATAACAACAAGGACAGCATTGTTGTTAGTCGGCATGTGGAGATTAGCCGCTCGTGAATGGGCCATGGCTAGCGGATGAGAAGGTATCTCAACACTCTTGCGCGATATCTCAAAGGCTTCCATCGCAGTAGTCGCCGCGATAAAAGGGTTGCATGTATTACATTTCCCGGTCTAGCTAGGTCACGTCATGTCACTTTCGGTAACGAACTCTCTCTTTTCACCCTCGACGAAGTGCATCGTACGCGACCGAGACAGCCCTACTCATTCTTCACTCAATTCCCGCCGGTGCTGCTGTGTAGGAAAACCTGATCCCGCTATCTTGTTTGATCATATCATCCGTGTAGTTCATTCTCAGATCCTTCAGGTACTTGCTAAACCGATTGCCAACGTTGATAGCATGCTTGAGATGTGAGTACTGGAACGGCTGCTCTCTGAACTGGGCCAACTGTCTCGCAATAGTGATCGCGTTACGAATCTCTCGTCCGTTCATCGGCTCCTTGCTGAGATCGTCGATGTGGTCGAGGATATCTTCCAGGTCGTCGTCGGAAGATTCATCGAGCGTTTTCATACGCGCGATGAAGTTGCGCCAAATCTTCTTGCGCTGAACAAGGCCAAGGTTGTCGTAGTGCAGGGCTAGCTGAATGCGAGACTTGAAGGCTTCGTCAACTGTAGGTTTGTTGGTTAGCGAGACTAGCGTAGCCGGGAGTTCTCGTGGGTAGCGTACAAGTGCCAACGCGATTGGAAGTCAGGATTAGGATGCCATCGTAGTACTCGAGGGCACGGAGGAACACGGATACTAAAGCATTTCTCTTCAGGTCCTTCATGTCGCGTTCCTCGAGGAAGACATCTGCTTCATCTAGAAGTACGACTGCGCTTGTTAGCACGTTTCTGTAGTTGCATCCATGCGAGGTAACGCACCACAGTCCCACATTTTCCCTAGCTGGAATGTAGCGCGGAGTCGCCGATCAACAACTTCAGCGTCTGTTCCCACGTCACCACAAGTTACGCGGAGCAACGGCTTCTCTGCAAACTCGGCAACCCCCTCAGCTGTGAATGTCTTGCCGGTTCCAGGTGCTCCATGCAAAAGCATGATTAGTCCATTGCCTTTGCCAGCTACAAAGTCTGTCGACTTCTTCGCGTTGAGTTGCTTCATGACAAGCGCTTGCACTAGTTCCTTGGTCTCTGGTTCAGCGACGAGATCCTTGAAGGCTTGCTTGTTCCACACTACGTCAGTAATACGATCGACGAAAAGCTCTCTCCAGTGTTTCTCCTGCAGATTGTGAGCCATGATCTTCGCTGGCATGACCAAAAGCGCATCACCGTCTTCGGGTGGTTGGTCGCGTGCCATGGCTGCAATGCCAAGTTCGTCTTCGCAGTGTAGTTTGGCAATGTCTGAATGTGGAAACAGCATCTTGTACGCCTTTGTGTCGACCATGTATCTTTCCTCAATCTTTGTATACCTCGTTAGTTCATGCAAAGCTCCATGCAGTTTTGGTGATTGTACACGTACGTTGTAGAGCTCGTCCTCCTTCGAACGTATGTAAGACACGAAATGTCTGTTTCGAAGAGACCAGAATGTTTTGCCTCTTTTCTCAAGCAGTAATCTCATGTCTTCGCTCGCATATCGCAGAGGGTAGACATTGAGATCTCTGATCGCAACTGTCTCCTCTTCATATCCTAGAGACATGGTAATCTCTATGCGAGACTCTTGCTTTGCAAAGGCGCCATCGAATAGCCAATACCACATTGGAACTTCCCAAGAATATGTAGTCAATTTGCGACTCGATTCGGAATTGGCAAGGGGACCATATCTTGGGATACGCTTCCTTTGTATATAATCGGACTCCTCGTACTGGGAATCCTCAAGCGTAGTCTCTGGACGTTCAATCCAGTCTGTAGCAATACATGCCTGAGGAACGTAACCTCCCGTGCCATTTCTGACGAGAACGTCCCCGGGTTGGAAGAGATATTTGAGGTGTTTACGCGATACTCTTCCTTTCTCCGCTTGGAGCTTCGCTGAGTCGTATTCGTACCCATAGCTTTTTTCGATTGCGGATTGCAATTGCCTGATTAGGTTTTGACTGGGGGTATCAAGATCAGGTAATATCTCGGGAATGAACGGTGCGCTGTAGTACATGAAAAGATACGGTGCCAGGATTTGCCCTTCAGGGTCGAAGTACGGGAAGTAGTCGCCAAACTTAGGTATCTGCTGGACTAACTCTTCCACCGCGTCCAGCATGTCGTCGGCTATGATCGAGAGAAATTCATGCGCGGGTGTAGGAGAGCGGTATACACCATCTTTTGTTTCAATCTTACTGCGATCGGAAGGCGGGGTCTGTTTGTATTCCTTGTAGATGGCGAAGGCTATCTCGGGATGTTGGTCCAGATAGTACTCAATCTTCCGGATCGGATTGTTAGCCAGTAACACGACGCCAGATCCTTCAGCGGGCTCCCAACGCGGCTCATCCAAATACAGTGTCTGTCCAACTTTGTAAAAGACTTTACCGGTATACGCTAGCACCGCAGGCTGAGAGGGTACGAATGTTTCGCTGGTTCCATGTCGCAAACGCTCGTTTTCGACCCTGAGAGCCTCCAATTCGTCCAACACCTCTCTGAATGTACTATCCTCTTGTTTTGTACGAGCCATGACCACTCCTGACATCGTTGCACGTGATGGAGCAGATTGCTGCTGCTCAGCTAATTGTTTCTCTGGCCTTGGCTTCGACGCATTCGCAGTGTGATCATCATCCGAGTAGTCAGGTTCTACATATGCAGGACGTCTATTCTGCTGAGAATGGTCCGAACGTTCTACTATATGGGACCGACGGCTACGGTGCCGTACTGGTGAAAGTGAACGAGATGATGCCGAGGATGGCGGGGAAACGTCCACGTAGTGAGCACCCTTTGAATCGGAGGACATGTGCTGCAGTGCGTCTCGAGTATGATCTTCGTATGCTGCATCTGGACCGTCACGATGATGGAAGCGAACGCGGCTCTATAAATGTAAGTATGCCTCATTCCACCATGCGAACTCAAAACGCTTACAGGAAGATTCCGTCCAGCAACTGCGTGGTCAGATTCGGTGATATCCGAGGTATCTGTGGTGTCAGAACGCCTCGGAATATCCTGCTCGCTTTCGTGCTTCAAATGTTGCCAATCTAACACTCTCGCGGTTGTCGCATCCCGCGAAAGAGGAGCATAACCTCTCAGAGCATCTAAAGATTCCGCATCCCATTGCTCTTCCATTCGCACTTTTCGCCGGTCCTTGGGGTCCCGAGGCTCGCGATGAGTCGCATTTCTGGGTGACTCGACGATGATGCTACGAGAAGATGCTGACTGTAGTGTTGCTGGCGCTTGTCGATCCATTGTTGTTTGGCTGTGATGAATTGCGCGACGCAGTGAATCTGAAGATGATGTTCGCACCCAGGTGCGCGCTTATATGGCAAAGCCTTGTCGCTCAGCCTCAGAGCATGCAACCGATACCTCATTTGGGGGCCGAATGACTGCGCCCCAGCGAGATGGTTGCCTCCATCCCGCCAGGTACCACATGGTGCCTCCCAGCCGGATCCTCTGCTTATCGCAAGCTTCTATAATGCGACTTCCCATCAGCAGAAACCTATTGTGCGTTATTTGAGACTGATCACCTTCAATGCAGTCGCAAAGTCGGTGGTACTTGAATGCGCAGGCCAGCTCCCCTGCGAGCTCAGCCGAGGATGCCTTCAAGGAGGCGCTTGCCGTCTTTCAGCTGGATCCCCGCACCTGCGCCAAATTCGACAGAGTTCAGCAACTTCAAAGTCTCAACGACTTGGAAGGCATTCTCAACGAAGCTCGATCCAAGTACGGGCGACAACATGAGGACAAAAAGGTCGCTAAGTGGTTATCAAAGCTATCGTTGCGCATCTGCCATTATGGCCAGATCTTTGACGTCCTCGTCCAGCATCACCCTGAGTACGTCAGTCTGGCATGGGGAGCAATGAAGTTTCTCTTTGTCGTACGTACTGCTCTTCGATATCTATGGATCACAGGCTAACAGTCCGCGTCAGTTAGTGGAAAACCACGGGAAACAACTCCGAGTCCTTGCGAAAGGCCTGAGCCAGATCGCGGACGTATTACCGCGCATAGAATCCGCAAATATACTCTACCCTACCGATCGCATGCGCCAGGCGGTATCCGACATATATAGTAAAATCATCCGGTTCTTCCTTCGGGCGGAGCGTTGGTATCAGCAAGGCAAACTGCGCCATGCGTGGGAAGCCCTGAGTCGACCCGCCGAGCTCTACTACAACGACCTGGTCCAAGAAGTCGAAGAATGCACAAGATCCATTGAAGTATTGGCGAACGCAGGCGCACAGGCGGAGCAGCGCGACATGCATCTAGAAATCCAGGAATTGGGCAAGAGGCTGAAAAGCTCGGAAGAGACCCTACAAGAAGTGCGAGGGCTGCTCATCTGTAGGCTACTCTTGCAGTCAACAATGCTTTTTCTAACAATGCGCAGCGTACCAGTCGATTCAAACGAGTGCGAATCTGGACACCAACCACCGCCTGACGGATCTCCAGCTGAACCAGATCATGGATTTCCTCTCTGGTGCGAACGCGCTAGATCCGCTGAAAGCCCTGCAATACCGCGCTTTCATGAGAGCCCGCACCAGAGGGCGTCGGTTGAAAGAAGAGACGGGGTCGCAATTCTGGTCAAATCCGAAGTTTGCCGCTTGGGAGTCTGCATCATCACCGGCTATGATTATGGTGAAAGGCGAATACAGCACTCGATTCCAAGTCCAGGGGTTTGCTGTTGACGTCATACACGACCTGCGTAATCGGACCGTCCCCATACTCTGGGCCCTGAAGTCAGTACCGGCGCATGGTGCATCTGCTGCATCGACAGTAGACGTTATCAAAGGGCTGATATGCCAGGCAATACAGCTCAATATTTCACAGCAGACGGAACGCTCACTTGCCCTGAGCTGTGCGCAATTCCGTGCAGCCGACTCCGTCGAGCAATGGTTCGACCTGCTAGCGCGTACGATCGCTAGCTTCCCTCAGCTCTACATCATCGTCGACTTGGAAGCTGTGGGAAGTTCATATCTCCAAAGCACTTCCTGGCTGTCTCAGTTGGCCGCTATGTTCCAACGACATGCTTCCGGAAAGTGGATATCGCGGCTTAAGATCTTGCTGATTAGCTACGGATCAATGCTTTGGCAGCAAGACGACCTGCTCCACTTTCGGGATATTGTTGTGCCTGCACGGCAATCTCACACTAATTCTATGCTTCAAGGTCGCCTACGCGGATCTGTTTTGACCGGTCGCGCGCGGTCAAACCCTTCGAGAGGAAGCATGCATGCACGTTTTGTTGGCAGACGAGGGTGCCATTCTACACTCGTAGGAGGCTGAACGATTCTTCGATCCCACGTTCGTGAGCATCCTGGTAGTGAACATTGTCATCGCGGCCCAATCTTTTGCGATTATCGCTATAGCATTACTCTTTGGCCCGTATTACGGCAAGTCAAATGGCGCGACCCATATATGGTCTTTGGGACTGATTTGTTTTGAGGAAGCGAGGAAAGAGCCAAACTCATAGCGTTTTTGCCCGTGTCTTTTGGTGTTTTGTTTGGAACGTCGTACTTTTGAAATTCAGTAACAGTTCAAAGACGCAGCTTTATACCCAAAAGGTGGAATGGCACTGGTGTTCTTGCCGCTAGATCCAATAGGCGACATGACCTGCCGATATTGCGTTTTGGAAGATCGCCAGCAAAGCCAAATTGTGCACCTACCAGCAGTCACGATGACTGTCTCATAAGACGTGAATAAAATGCTTTAGATAAGACATCATTATATTTGTGACCCCTACATTCTTTCTCGACATGTGCTTCTGGTGTTGAAATCTCCGCACATGTCTGCAGTAGGGTAAGTTTTGGAGGAAAGGTGCTCGGCAGCGTCATGAAAACGTATCTCAATCACTTTGAGACACATGTAGTAATCGATGGCCAGTTTCAAAAGAGCAGGACACGCACATGACCTTGTTCGCGGCGGATTTGAGAAGGCGCGAGAGACCGCAGCCATGCTCTCCTCTCCCTCCTTTTTTTGGTGTATACACTTCTGAAGATGTGGAAGACGGAAGAGAACAATTGGAGAAAAGATGCTTTATATACAGACAGCTCCGTGAGCCAGGGCCATTGCATAGGGTTCTCTAGTATTGAGACTCGCGAAAACAATATGAGCTGGCAGTTGTCGTGTATTTTTAGCCGAAGGAGAAGAGCACATCCCGTGGATATCGCAGTGTTTTGGAACGATAACAGCGGTAAAAGAGCCCTCAGCGCGCATCGATCCAGCGAACCGGATTTTGGAGAATGTGGCGGTGACTCAATGTGGAAGAACGCTTGAGCACACAGCGGGTACAGGCAGCCTTTCTAATCCCGTGGGACGAGAAACTCAACTCTTTCATGGAACGATGCAGGATGAATTTTGGAAGACTCGAAGTTCCATGGCCGATGTAGGTACACCGTTCTGGGAGAGAAGGCGACAGGCGAACACATAATCACAGCCACATGGTGTTTTGGAGAGGCGGAGGAGACAGGACTCCATGGTGCGCCTTTACGTCATTTTGGAAAGAGTCAAAAGGCTGTGGATGTTGGAAGTAAGAGTGAGGAGAAGAGAAAGAGGTATTTATACCGCCAGCGCACGGGTTCAGGTCGCGATGCGAAGCCGTCGGAACAGTACGCGCGCCTCATGTGTTTTTCTTATCTCTTTTTGGTACGAATCCAAGGTCTGTGTATACTGATGCATCGAACTGCCAGTGGTCTCGCGAAGTCATATGAGACCGTTCGACAATTTTTGTTCAGATTCTGCCGCGCACCATGCACAATCAGCAACCAAGGCATTCCACATAGGGTGCTTGATTGGGGGTTTTGATCGCAGGACACGACAAACCTCTGTCCAAGAGTTTTTCGAATCGCTCAACAAAAATGTAGTCGGCAGAGCACATCATCGACGCGCAGCCGTAGATTTTTGATGCAGGCGAGAACTCCATGAAACGTGAGGGTCTTGTTTTAAGTTTGGTCTCGACGCCCACTCATACCGCGGTTAGCGATCAGTTTTGGAGAATGCAAATGGGAGATAATGGATGATAGAAAGGTAACATGAGAAGATGCATAGACTGTATTTATACCCCTCGACGCACTAAGCGCTCGAGCTAATGCGACTAGTTAGTTTTATGGCGCTGGTACATCTAGACGGCCTGCATACACTTGCGCACACTGTCCCGTATCGACAAAGCCTTCATGGGTAACGTCTATTCTTATTCATTGGCATTACGCCGACCTCAAGGGTAATTATTGGCCGCCTTGCTCATCAATAAGCTTACTCCCGCCATCGCAGAGAAACATTCCCACCACTCTACTGTCCACCAGTCTGATTGTCCTTCTGCTCCATACCCACGCTCCTGCCACCAGCCTTGGTGGTATCGCCAACGAAGTTGCCCGCCGCTATCCCAACACGTTAGCACCAGCTTTATCACCCTTCTTTCATCCGTTGCACCATTACGCACCTTTAGTAGTATCACCAGCACCCTGCGTAATACCCGTAACAGCATCACCGAGTCCCTTACCGCCAGCTGCGACAACATTGCCGGTAGCGTCAGTGACGCCTTGGACGCCCTTGCCGACGGTGTTTGTTGCGGCGCCTAGAGTGTTTCCTGTACTGTTAGCAATGACTCTCATGTGTTCGTGATCGTGATGCTTGGAGAGCGAAAAGGTAGATGGAACGTACCGAGACCGCTGGCAGCGGTGCCGAAGAAGCCCTTTTGTTGGTTGTTCTGGTCGGACATGATTGCTTTGTGTGGTAGACTCGTGCTGTGATTCGGGTTGGGATATAGAGCCTGATGTCTGAAGTTTCGGTATAGGAAGTGTCGAGAGTGGGGTGTAATGTGCTTACTTCGGCCAGCCTGGTGTTCTGATATGTGGTTGACCACTCTGTCCTTATGACGTAGCCAGCTGCACTATTCTCACCTGCATCCCTGCGCGCTGCCCCTCACCTGGAAGTTGCGCAAAGACGCGCAACGCTCCTGCCGTATGCAAACGTCCCGCAGTAGGATCGACGTTTACATCACATCACATCATTGGAGGGGAACGTGCGTTCAACGGTTCCAGGGCCGGACGCAGACTTCCCTTGGCCCAGGCGCATCACAGACAGTATCACAGACAGAAGCAGAGTCATAATTTTTTACCAGTTTATTCGAACTAGATCAAGCTATTGCACAAAGAGTCATCTCCTCGTAGATCTTGCTCTCGTGTACGCAGGATCTTTTTCGCAAGTGCATGCCTAAGCAAGTTTGCTATCGTCGGCGGACACCGCATCACCAAGCCACCACTCTCTGTAAGAGGCAAAAAGAAGGAAAGGAGGATAACATGCGCATAAAGGGGGAGCGGGATTGGAGAGACCTCCACAGGAAGACGCGGTACTCCTTCTACCTCTTGGTCCTCCCTACCCCAAGGAAATCGCAGCGCAAAGAAAAGATGGAGGACTGAGGAAAACTTGGCCAAAATGCCCACCCAGAGCGCTCGTGAAAAGCGTGTGGTGTAGACCATCCCCATCTTCAGATCCGGAACGCCGTCATGAAGCATGCGCATAAAAAGAGTCATCGAGGCTTGTACCAACCAATGGTTTGAACACCCAAACCCATTTCGTGAGACCGGCCGTCAGACAACAAGGAAACTTTTGGAATCCATCGCTCTTGAAAGTCGCAGTAATGAAACCCCGCGAAATGCAGAACAATGCGCGCGCTGATGCCCCCTTCTATGCAACGAAACAGGCGATTAGATTACCGCGTGCGGTGTGGTCTATGGGTATAACCGTCACGCGCTCGAAAGGAAAGGTAATCACTCGGAAGGCTTGGCCTCCGCGTCGGCAGCAGACTCATCAGCAGCGTTGGATGTAGAGCCAGCCTCGCCGGCGTCTTCGTTGCTAAGAGCAGCAAGTGCACTGTGACATATGTTAGTAAAGATCTCGAGTAAAAACAGCACGGATCTTACCTGAAAGCGTTTGCATGAGCAGTGGCCTCCTTCTCCTTCTGCACTGGTGGTGTGCCATTGCGCGAAGAGACGTTGGAGTCTTCACGACTACCCATGCCGGGACCGATACCCATACCACGGCGGCTACCGGCGCGGTTACCAAGCATGGACGGGCCGAGAGATCCAGCGTTGTTGAGGTTGCGTCCAGAAGCACCCTTGGACAGCTTGCGGAGATCGTCCATTTGGACACGGCTGCCAGTGTCTGGAGGAGGCTGCATGCCACCACCTGAGAACGAGCGAGCGTCGCCGCGACCCATGGGAAGACGGCCACCACCACCGCGTTGGTTTGAACGTGTGCGCTCCATCTCGGCGGCCTGTTGGGCTGCCATGGCTTCTTGATGAATCTCGGCGATGGTCTTGGGACCCTTGAGGATGTCCTTGGACTTCCAGCCGGACTTGCGCATGTCGACGGTGTCAAGCAACATGAAGTGCATACGCGAAGGAAGACCCTCCATGTTCATGACCTTCTCGATGCGCTCGAAGTACATGTTGATCATCTTGGGGCCGGCTTCGGCGGACTCCATCGTGGCACCCACAGTGCGTAGCAGCTTGACCAAGCTCTCAATAGCGGCCTCATCGGGGAGACCCTCAAAGTCGAGAAGCTTAAGCACACACTCGTGCATGATGCGCAGAGTCAACATGCCCAGCTTGTATAGCTCTCCGATGAACTGGATCAGACCGAGACCCTTACGCTTGGCTGCAGCGGCAACGTAGTACTCGTCTGACAGAAGCTTCGCCTCCTTTTCGCCTTCAGGCGCCTCGGGCAGGTTGACTTCCCAACCACGCTCGAACTCCTCTTGACAGCGGTTGAGGAGGTACTTACGGAAGAGAGCACCACCGACAACTGGCGCACCGTGCTTGTCGCGGACATTCTCATCCTTGATCTCGGTGCTCATGGTCTGCAACATGCGGCTACAGAACTTGGCGTACATGGACGACCAATGAGACTCGTCACAAGCCTTCTCAAAGGTGAGCTGAATGACCTGGCGAAGAGTGCGTCCATCAGTCTCATCCTTTGACTGTCCAGCGATCTCAAGGATTTGATCGGAAATCTTGTCGAACTTGTCGGGTGTCATCTTGTTGAGAGCGGCCTTGACCTTACGCTGTACCATATCGGGAGCCAAGTGGCCTGCGCTCATCTGGGCCTGGACAGCAGCGGGCTGAGTGAGCGACGTAGGCACCCAACCAGTCTGCGAGCGTTGGAGTGCCTTGACTTCCTGACCGGCGGTCAATGGCATTTGCTTGGCATCTTGAGCATGGCCGCCGCGGCCACCCTTGTGGCTGTTTTGGCCGCCCCTACCGCGTGAGCTGCCAACGCGAGGAGAA